TTATTTAAGACTTAATTGATCTTGACTGAAAGCTAATTTTTCTTTAATTCTAAACGACTTAAATAGCTCACAACCTGCTGTATGCGAGAGGGCGTTGAATCATTTAACTAAATATTTAATGTTGTCTCGTATACAAAACCCAGATTACTTTTGAATTCGTGCCAAGATTGTTACACGGACCTTGCGTTTTTTAACACCTTATTTATTTTAGAACGATCCGGACATTTTGCTTATATTGGTTTGCATTAAGGGGTTTCTTTACCTATAAATATACACGATTACTTAAATAACGATTCAATTAAATCTCGTCACAGAAGAGTTTAACGACTTCCATTGAACTTGTTGCTTTCAACGAAAGACCTAATCGCAAAACTACAAAGTGTGAAATTAAAGACACTCTTTTTTATTCTAGTTTTTTTAAACTTCGTCAGCAAAAATACATTTTTTTGCTGCCCTAGACTAAATATTATTCGCGTAGTTTGTTTTCTTCTTGTCTACGAGTATTACGTTACCTCACATCTGCGTCGAAGACATAATTCGGCGTGACACTTTTTTTGGGTTGCCAAAAATTTCCTTCTCACAGTATGGTTTTTATATAACGAACATCCTTGACATTAGATCGCTACTCAAATTTTTTTTGTTCGGCATATGTTTTTTATTTATTTAAAAAGTTTACTTTTACTATAAAATTATTCTTAGGGTAATAATTTAACCTTGATAACATTTTTCTTAATAATTAAAACAATTAATAGAGATTTTTAAATTTATATTGATTAATCCGATAATTGTATCGACATTATGTCCTATATATATTGATATGATTAAATATTTAAATACAAATAGATTAAATGAATTTAATACTACTTTGAAATTAATTCAATCTGCATTAATTAACATTTTGACGGACAGATCGAGGACAATGTCAATATAGAAACTGGTCTCGGTGCCGATTGTCGATGGACGGAGAGCCGATTGTTCTCGCTTAATTGCACATTTCTGTTCGGAAGCTGTCTCAAGAATTTGCAATGAAGGAACCACTGAATGCCAATTGTTACATAATCCAATGCCATTTATTTGGATTCAAAACTAGAATTACGATTTATAATCTTGTGTGGCATGTGTATCAGGTCGTAAAATATTTAATCAAAATATACTATAAATAAATCAATAACACCACCGTTGCTTCTTATAAACTATTTGATAAGATTTTATTGTCGGTTTCGTTGCAAAGTTATATATTGATAAATATATATAAATTGAAATAAATTAAAAAAAAAGTAGTATACAGTTATTATTATGTAATCAGCTAGTTTTCAATTGACGCATCATTTTCACTTGAACAGAGTACGCTCAGCATAATTTATCCCATAAATTTTCAATGGGATTAATTTCTGGATTGCTTCATTTAACAGATCGATATCTGATTTATTAAAGAACCGGTCATTATCGTTACAATGAATAATTTACTGTGATCAGTAGCTGCGAGGAGATTTTTATCTCGCGTTTATTGATATCCGCATTTGTACATACTTCAAAAGTACAGAATATTTAAATATTTAACCTTTCATTTAAAGAGCAGTTATTTTTAATAAATCAACGATTTAATGGACATTTAACCAGAAATTAAATAAATTGTTTATAGTTGTTTGAGTTACTGAAATATTCGACGAAAACTAAAGAATTCAAAGAGAAGGTTTTAAGGATAATTTGCAGCTCAACTGGCAGTTAAATGAAACAAAAATAAGCAGTGGAAGTGAGTTAAAAGCCAGAATGGAGGCTTATGTTTCTTTTGTAGTCGTAAAGAAGTTCACAAAGATGACTAGAAGTTGTTAGAAGATGTTATTAATCAATTTCCGAAAAATTTAATAATCAGGATTGATGAATTTGCCAAATATTTTCACTTTAAACCATTATCAAATCAAATATTGATTTTTGTGGTAATTATGGCGTATGCATCGAAGTAATTATGTAATTATCCTAAATTATTTGTTACTTAGCAAAAATGGCAATGCAAAAGGATTTTTTTAAAATAGTGAAATGCGAGATGAACCGTGTTGTTTTGTTCAAACAAATTTTAATGGGCAATCATGACACAATTTTTATGGAAACCGATTGGTTCTCTTGTTTATTTATTATTTCAATGTTAAAATTATACAGGTAAAATTACTTTGAACCATTTAAACACACTAATCGATAATTAATAAAATAAATGAGAATAAAATTAAATAATTAATAACAATAACTAAATTAAAAACAACAACTAACTTGAAAATAGTGATTCTACAGAACTTTAGTATTTTCTGATCTATCAAAGTACATTTTGTAAAGTCAAGCTGAAAAATAGTTTATCACATAAAGCCATTTCTGATACTTAATGACAAAGTGGGCATTCGTCCAACAAAGAAGTCTAGCTTTTATTCTGCCTTCATGAAACTGAATCCGACGAAGTCACATATTTTGGCAAAAATGGTTTTCATGGACGTCGACTGAACCAACAAGAAACACTGAAACCAGATCGCATAATATCATTACAGGTTTATCAGGGCAAACTACAATTGATAGAAATTTAGGAAATAACCTTTCTAAAGAAAAGATTTGGAACTAATCGATAATGATATGATACGAATTCTACTGAAATCAAAGCGCTGCTTGGACTCCTTATGTTGGCATTAATTATGAAATTCTCACATGAGGACATGTTATCCATATTTCCCAAAGATTATTTGGGACGGCCCATTTTTAGAACGACAATGGCTGTTAAAAGGTTCGAAATTTTACTAACCAGCCTCAAATTTAATAATAGCGTGGATCGGGAAGAACGAAGGAAGTTGTTCCAACAGCAGCAATCTCGGATGTTTTCGACAACGTCGTTTCAAACAGCCAAAAACTATTTTCTGTATAAAAATGCGTTACTATTGATTAAATGCCTTTACCTTTTAGAGATAATTGTCGTTTTCGTATATACATGCCTAGCAGCAATATGCAAGCCAGCTAAATATGGCAGTAAGTAACTGATAAGCCTTCACAATGTGTGATTAGATTGTGTAAACCTATCGAAAGATTAAACAGAAACGTAACTGCAGACAACTATTTTATGTCAATAGAAGTAATTGATAAATTAAAGGAATCTGGCTTGACGCAATAGAGCAGTTCTATTAGCTTCAAGTATGCACCATTCTAAAGGTAATGAACATGGAAAGCCAGAAATAATTAAATATTACAACCATACCAGTCAGGAATTGATGTTCTCGATATGAAATGCGCTAATTTTATATAATATATTAGCTGTATTTTACACCCTAGTAAACATTAATGCAGTAAATATTAAATAATGCAGTTGTATTTTATATCTGTGCTATCAGGGTGACAAAATGTTTTAAATTTGTGAAGGAGTTGGCTTTTGAACTGTTATAACCTCATCTAAGGCAAACACTAACAACTTTTCCTTAGAATGTAGTCGAAAAGTTTGTGTCACATGTATTCGAAATAGTTAATAATTAACAATTCACAATAATAACAAAATTCGGAACACACTCCCGATAGCTAAGGACAAACTAACTCCATTAAAAGGAGCGGGAGTCTAGCGACTATCGTGTAGTTGTGGGAAGGTTTATGTTGGCCAAACTGGACGCAACGTCGAGTGCCGCATCAAGGAGCATGAGAGGGATGTAAGGCTGAAGAAGATCCAGCAGTCGGCGGTTGCGGAACATTACCATGCAGAGGGGCACCGAATAGACTTCGAACAAACAAAGGTGCTGGCTAGGGACAACAGATACTACCAAAGACTGACAAGAGAAGCCCTAGAGATTCACCGACATAAAAATAACGTCAACAGAGAGGATGGCTGGGAGCTTAGCAGAACATGGAAGATGGTGGTGAACACGAAGACCTCTTCCCGCCTCACACCGGACGCGACGCAATTAGTTATTAATTAGTTTGTAATTAGCGTTAACTGATTATTAATTAGTTTTTCCGACTTATATATAGTTACCGATTTTTTGATCTTCTCACTTCGAACCAGTTTCTGAAGAAGGTTGCAACATGGCATCCGAAACGTCAAACCTTTTATTAAAAGACGCACGGCAAAACCCGAAAGTTTCTAGTGTTAGTTCTAGTTTTAGTTCTAATCTTAGTTTAAGTTAATAATTATAATTTGAGCAGTTATTACTATGAATAAAGTTGTTATTTGAATTTTTAATAATCAAGGTCTGGTAGACATGTTGTTTCTAATAAGGTAGATATTTCAGTGTTTCGGGTTAAGGGTTAAAGATCATCGGCATGGAGGTAGCGCCTCGGCCACGAATAACCTCGATTTTGTTTTCTTAACTGATGCAGATAATGGATTGCAACCTAGATTATGCATCACACCTTTGTCATTTTAATTGTATTCCTTGTGTCTTCTAAGCTACAATTTTGAGACATCTCTTTTTTTTGACACACTCTTTTTAATTTTGATTTTTAAATGTATTATCTGCTTCTCCTAGTACAAATTATAAACGCATTCTGTTACCTGGCGATCTTCTACACCTTCTATTTTGTCAGTGGATTAAAACATTGCGATGTAATTGTTCTGGCTAAAATATGTGATTTGCAACTTTTTTAGTAACGTTAAATAACTGCTTCAAATAAAAAAATTTAAATGTTTAAGATATGCAAATTCAAATTACAGGATACCGATGTATCCAGTTGCCTGACCTACATCTTTTGTATAGATGTAAAAGAAATTATACAACTGGTAATATAGATATACTGAAATGGTAAAGTTGAAAGAAATTTGTCAAAGATAAAATAGATTCATGACCAAAGCCAGCTGTAAAGACATTTATGGAGGTGTGTGAAAGTGACCCCATAATGATGTAAACGAGTATGTTTCTAAAGTCATCTTCGTCGGTGGCGTCGCGACGTCCTGCCGTTGTTCGCGTACAGAGCACGTGGCCGTCGTGGCGTGGCGGGAGCAGTCCGGCCAATAGCCGGCACATGTGTCTCGCCTCGAAAACGAAATCTTGACATAGCGGGCCAGGCCAGCGAGAGCCACTCTGCGCGCCGCAGCTACGCCGAACGGTCAACCACCACGAGACTACGGCCGCATCGTGCGCTCTTTTACGCCTTCCTCCAAGTCCTTCCACTTCTTGCACACCAAGTACAATCCGTACCCGTACGAACTGCAATGGCTCCCATCATACCACAATAACAACAGAAGTTGTCAAGTAAAAGAACCGCCGAAGAAGAAGAGGTCTCCTTCGGTTGTTCGACTACTTCTTCTTCGTATTCTTCGTTTTTCGGCAAAACGGTTCTTTCATTTCGTTTTTTTCTCATTCTTTTTCGTGTTTTAGTTTTTATTTTTTTTTAAGTTTTTAATTCCTTTCGGTTGAGTCGGTTCGGTTTGAAACTTCGGTTGGCTTTTCGCGACGTATACGACGAGATGGGACCACGAAGAGGCCCTAAAGGACTGCAGACTTTGTGCTTTTGTGCCACTGTGGTGCTGCTGTTGGTCTTCTCGTTGGCTACAACCATCAACGCTGCTGCTGACTCACAGGTAAGGATTTTCTTTTAACTTAACGATGGCTCGGCTTAAATCCGAACACAAGACCAGCACATCAGTGACGTGCAGACTTCTTTTTTTATATAAAAGATATTTTAAAATAAAATCTTGTGTAAAAAAAATATGCGATTTGTATTATCTCATGTGGTTTAAGTTACGTCTGCGAGTCCTTGGATGAACAATAATAATAATAATAATCTTAAAGATAAATCCGGACGGTTCAGAATGTTGCTTTTACTGGTTAACGGTTATTATCAACGATTCGAAAAATATGTAGATTTTCTTTTTAATTTTAATAGGTCACTATTGCTTTTTAGTATCAATCATATCTTTATAACATTTAAATCGTTTCAATATTACTTGTTTTAATTCGATAGTTGAAAACAAGAAATCAACCCAATTTCATCGAAATTTATTTCTTAAAAAACTAATTTGTTCTAGAAACTAGAGGAACTATAAATTTTGTTCGTAATGCTCTCAATCTGTCCCCAATAAAGCCAATTCCTTTAAATGAATTTAAGTCATAAGTAAAAATAACAATTTAAATATTTGAAGTTACACGTAACTTCCATTCAATGTTGTTTGTTGAACAATAAAATGTTTATTGTATAATCTTAGTCATTGTCGAGTACATCTTGCATTCATTACTCTATAATTAACCGTGAGTGAGTGTTATTTTATAGTTTTTTGACTCACGCTCCGATTCATTGAAGCAAACACAAAACTATTAATGGTCTGTTTTGTCTTGGAATTCCGAAAATAGTGTCAGCGAATTTTAGGGTATTTATAATCATTCCATTTTTAGATAGATCTGTTCCTAGAACAGTACAAGGAAAAGTGAAAGTTATGGCAAAAACGATTGTTTTAAAAATTGAATTGATAAATAGGAATGAAATTTTTAAGATTAAATTAAAACGCCTGTTGTAATGTAGTAGAAAATGTTGACGGCTCAAGGTAAAATTTAATGTCTTTGTTTTGTTTCCTTGGACATTAAATGGTGCAAAAACTAAAAATAATAAAAAATAGTTGTATAGTATTGAACTTTATGGCATTATTTTTGTTTAAGTAGTTAACGTTTCTTATTTAATATTTTTAGATTTCGAGGAAAATGTGTGGCGGGAAATTATTTTAGATAAATTTATGATACAACCACAATATTGTTACATACCAAGTCGTTACCGGAAAATCAATCGAAGCAATAACATATAAATTTAAGCTTAATTATTAAAATGGTGCGATGTAAAATTGTATTACCCATTATTATTAATAATAAACGGCGAAAAATTTTATAGAATATCCCGAGCGGTAATTTGACACTAATCTCTTTATATACACATAATTTATAATTTGTTGTACATTTTTCCACCTCCACAAAAATATCTCTCTCTGTATAAATTTTCCCATAATTTGCAAAATACACAAAACTTTATTGGTATATAAATTCTTTGGCAAGTTTGTTCTCAAGTCAACCACCTCCATAAATACAGTATTTGCTTTTCTAAAATGTGTATCCCATTCTTATCGGTACCGAAGACTTATATACAAGCGACTGTTGCGACGTGGAGCACTAAAAGTGGGTCGTTGCCCTTTGGGAAGATGACTTACCATAGGTACAGACCCCGCCATCTCTTCACAGTGTGGGCATCGCGCGAGCGACCCCGAAGCCGTGCGCGTTTCTCACCTGGATTCTTCCAGCGCGATTCCAGTTTTGCATTTCGCACGTTGGCAGAAACCGGGGCCTCAGGAATTAAAATAACCAAAAATAAAGAAACAAAAAAAACGGGATTACAGAGAAAAACACGAAAGAGGTTCGGATTGGCGAGAGCAGTTCTTAAAATATCTTCAGGCGAATGTGGGAGGTCAGCGGCGACTCGTTGATATTATTCTTCAAGAATACTTGAAAATTTAAAAAAAATCTGTTCTAAAAAAGAAATATAATCGATATAATGGATGTCATACTATTAATATTATCTATTTAATACATCAGTATGTTTAAATGTTAGCATTCATAGATAAAATCCACCTCGTGTTATTCCCTAAGTTGCTCTATTTCATGTTTACAGATAAACTCGGGGAATTCCCGACTTGTCTATACGATGTATAAATCGAGGATGATAGTTTTCGTTTTAATTGTTATTCAGCGCTAGATTGTTGTACATTTTATTGGACGAAAAGTAGAATTAACACTAGATCTAGAACTAGAAACATTCGGGTTTAGCCGTACGTCTCTTAAGACAGCTAAACCCAAATGTTTCTGGGTCTAGTCTTAATTCTAGTTTTAGTTGTTATTCATCGTTAGATTATATATTTTTCATTAAACTAACACTAGACCTAGAACTAGAAATATTCGGATTTAGCCTTGTGTCTCTTAAGACGGCTAAACCCAAATGTTTCTGTTTCTAGGTCTAGTGTTTCTTGTTCATCAGGTTTATTTTATCTTATGAACGCCATATATGATTTTCACACCAAAAAAATAGGATAATTAATTCTGATTTCAATGATATGTCACACAATGTTAGTTGAAAAATGATGAGCTCTAAGATACGCAACTTTGCCCTCATTTAACGATTTCTGTATTTCGTATGGTTTCTGAATTTGAATTACCCTGTATATTTTTTGAACTAACACTAAACCTAGAACTAAAAACACAATGTTTTAGGTCTAGTGTTAGTTCTAGTTGTTATTCAGCACTGACTACTAGTTACCTACCCATGCGTTACGTCACGAACGGGCCATCAAGCTGTGCGCCTATTCCTAGGATGTAGCTGTCCTCTTAGATTCTACCGTCTTTGGTATAAATATAAAGCCACGCAGACTGGGCACAACGGTGTCGATAGCTGTCTAAATTTGTGTGCATTAAAATTACTCATATAACGGATTTTTAGATATAACGAACACTTCCTTCCCCGTATTAGTCTGTTATATCGAGATATACACAAAATTTCCAAAAATTAAATACAAAATAAAATGTAGAAACTTTTTAAACAACTATATTCATTGTTTATACATAAAAATAAAATTGGGGCATACAACTTCTAACAAAGTAAGTTTAATAGAAATATATACACGTAAATAAATTTCATTCAAATTTATTGGACATTAATGGCTCGTTTATACAACCAGTTATTTACGACTACTTTTCTTAAAAACTACTTTTAAATACACTATTTATAAAATCATCTCAATAAAAAAAAATTAAAATAAATTGAAAAAATCCTACTTATTCATAAACAGCATACTTAAGTATTCACTTCCTGATTAGATAAAACTTACATTTTATGAATGTACATAAAATTTTTGTTTAAATGATTAATAATGTAAAAGATTATTAGATATTTACAAATGACTCTAATAATTAATATTTGCCATACAAATAAAACAAAAAGAAATAAATCAATATTTAAATATAAATAAAAGGTATTTTGGGAATCTCGCGAAAAAAACATTGGGAAATACGTTTCCGACATGACGTAAGGTTAAATTTCGGCGATTGAAACCCAGTGGAAGAAATTGAGTACTTTGAGCAGGTACGTTTTGGGTGTCGATTCCCTTTTATAGAAAGTCCTCCACTAGGTAATATTTCACAGCTTCTAATCTGACAATGGACGCAACATGAAAAAGATTTTTGAACAAACAATAGTCTCGACCTGGTTTTCTTTTTCCTATTTCTCTCTGTCTGGGCGTGTGGTACTGTTTAAATTGGTTTATTCAAGGTCAGTTTATTATCTGTGTTAAGTTCACAAACTTCAAAGTAGAAATAGAAAAATAAAGCACAAATTTTAAGATTAGAATGAAAATAAAACCCACGAAAATGTAGTTTTGAGAGGTCTGGAGAGATCATGAAACCCACGCAGAAACGAAATCTATTGTACTTTTCGGTTTCAAAAATAGAAGATATAGTAATAAATTCTCTAAATAAACAACAAAGCCAGATGGCCCAGATGGATTTATAAAAAAAACGGTTTCGGAGAAAAAACTATATTTTTAGGTATTTAGCAATCGAATCGGTTGCCAATAAACAGACTTTTTTGCAAAAGAAAATGGGCAAACGTTAAACTCTTTTTCGATTGGAAAATTGCGGGGTGCAATAAAAAATAACCCGGATAAATTGAAGAACCACCATAGAAAAATCGCTCTGCGATCGTCTCTGTGTCATTGCAAACAAGCGAGAGCATAAATTTGCAGTTCCATTACATATTAAACCGCGGCCGTAAATTCTTTATGACCAGGAAATGGCATAAATCTATATATAGGGAATAGGTTGACAATTTGGAGCAAACTCGAACGTTTCCGCGTATTTTTCTCCAAAAGTGGACGTACGACATCAATTTTTCCATATTTTATATTTTCTTATAAATTAAATTTTTTTTATTTATAAATTTATCATCCGGTTCAAAAGATTAATGATTACAAACAATTTGTTAACTCTTATTCAGAATTTTTTGATAACCTTAATAATTCCATTTTTATTTTGCAAAACATATCATTTGATATACTTAAATTTATAATAAACCAATTAGTCGACTCTTGAATTAATTTAAGAGAATCTTGCACGAGAAGCTTTTTTTAGGGTACGAATTAAAGTACTGAAACTATAAATACTTTGAAATCTTACCCCGCACAGATTTAATGGCTTATCGATTAACATTATAAAAAAGGTTACGCGAAAAAAAAGGGACCTTAATTATAATAAAAATAGCAAAAGTTTGAAGATCAATAAACATCATATGAAAAGCTTCTTATTACTTAGCCACAATTTTTGAGCAACAACTTTATGGTCCCACTTCACGGTCACTTTTATTACATGCATTATTTTCCCGGCACTTATTATCCAAAAATAAAAATAAATTTGCCATCTCTCATCAGCAAAGACATTGACAAATTAACTCCAATCGTGTCCTTATTTGAAAATTCCTCAAAACTCCTTAACCATTATGTCATTTAGCGCTATATGTGAAGTCAGCGAGATAATATCAGTTTATTAGTAGTGTCAT